TTTTTCTCACTCCAGTCAGTAAAACCTTAGCCCTGGATTAATCTACCTGTCTGCCTTCTTGGCTGCTGATCACTACAGCAGAAAATCAAACATCCTCACATATTGGCAACACAAAAATCCATAATCTTTAGCTTCTAATGGATCTCCACTACTGCCCCTCAAACTTTGTATATATTGGTGGTTTGCTTTCTTACTTCACAGTTTTCCAAATCTCTTTAAATCCCTTCTCATACCATTTCCTACTTGTTCTCAGAAGATGCCACTTAATACTTCACATAAAAACAAATAGTATTTACCTCATAATAATCCTTTAATATCCTATTCCTACATTGACAGACTTATAAGTACATATATCAAGCCTTCCTCCTATCTTCCCACATTCCCACAAGAGATGTCTGCCTTCTTCAGTGACCTAGTTCTTTCACTCATGCCCTTTATAAGTGACATTTTCAAACTTTAGAATACTTTCCTGGCTCCTTTATGTCATGACCAAATATTTCCCATCTAAAAACATCTAAAAAAAAAATCAGAACATCAGTCAATTCCATTCTCCATTTGTTTTTAGTTTTATCTTGTCTACTCTTCTTCAAAGCCAAATCTGTTAAGTTTCTGGCACTTGCTGCATCTACTTCCATACAGGACATTCACTGTTTCTACCTTTCCCATCCAGTTGGCTAGTGACTTCCATGTAACTAAATCCAATGGCTTTCTTTTAAGGACTCATCTTACTGGAGAATCCTCTCTTGAAATGCATTCTTACTTTGGCTTTGTTTGAAACCTCATAATCTTGGTTTTCCTTTTATGTCTGTATTTTGGACTTCTTTTTCTGCCCATTTTATATGTTTAAGGATCTGCCTACTTCTCTTCATTCTAAGAACATTCTCTGGGTAACATGACTTAATTCCATGGTGATATCTCTAAAATTCATCTCTAGCTAGCAGCTTCAGAATTCTACGTTCCAGACACACACATCCAAATATTTATTGATTATTTCGATTTGGATGCCTCACAGACATCCGAAGCTCAACACGTACAGTCCTGCACTTGGTCTCTTTCCTGCCAAACTTGATCCTCTGTCCTCTGGTTCAGATCACAGCAAATGATACCTCAGGCCACTGAGTTGCCAGAAACTTAAGGAACTACCTTTAACTCTTCTCTATCTTTCTGTTCTGACAGCCAGTCAGTTAATATATCCTAGGTTTGCATTGTATTCTCATTTCCACATCTTGAACAAATGCCAACTTCATTTTGGGCTCGTGTTCTTGAGTTCTGGTCCCCTTTTCTAACTTTATGTCTCTTTATGTCTCAATGTATTCACTAAACTGTATCCAGGGTCATGTCAGTCTCCAACTTAAAACCATTTAGCATTTACTGCCATCAAGATAGACCTCAAGTAATCATATCTGTTTATTTTGCTCCAGCTTATTTCTCCAGGCCTGTTTTCTCCACTCCCAATCTCTCTATGTGTGTTTCTATGCCATTGGACCATTTATACTTCCCTGAATTTTCTATGTCCTGCTACCCATGAGCCTTTATATATGCTGCCATCTTGGTCTGAAATTTTCCTTCTCCAACTTCTTTTTTACTTGACTAATCCCTAAATCTCTTATATCTCCATTTAGAGGTTTCTTCCCCTTTTTCTGACTTCTCTGCTATATGTTGATTTTTTTTTCTTTTTGCCATCATAGCACCTTGTAACAAGAATGACTAGTACAGCTATTGCTAATAACACTTGAACACTTATTTTCCAGGATCTGTTCTAAGTGGGCTATATATTTTTTAAAAAGATATTATTTATTTATTTTATTTTAGAAAGAGAGAGTGTGGGTGCATTGGGGGAGGGGCAGAGGGAGAGGGTGAGAGAGTATTAAGCAGATTCCACACCCAGTGTGGAGCCAAACTTTGGGCTTGATCTCACAACTCTCGGAATTTTCACCTGAGCCGAAAACAAAAGTCAGATATTTAACCAGCTGAATCACCCAGGTGCCCCATAGGTTAATATATCTTAACACCTCTAATACAACAACTTTATGAGATAATTTTTACTATTTTCTCAGACAACTAATATAAGCAAATTTCCCAAGTTTCTAGAACTTGTGACATAAGTAGATTCTGAATTTAGGCACCTTATTGAAAAATTTATAAACTTAAACATCATTTATTTGTCTACATAGAAACACTTTGATACTGTGTCATAATCACCTGTTTGTACCTGAATTCCTAATTCAACCTTAGGTTTTTAGAAGGAAGTTGTATATCTAGCACCCAACACAATGATGGCTATATGGTATGTTTCCAATAAATACTATTTGAGTAAATAAAAGAACAAAGTGACTTGTGACTCAAAGATGAGCCTTTGCCTAAAATCAAATTTACCCTGACCTAGCCTCGGTGCCTATATTATGACATTTCGTCCCAAGAATGCCAAGTGACTTGCTATCATCTAATCACCACATACCCTTTATTTCTAAGAGTTTACATATCCTGTCCCATTCCCATTATGTACCTTACCCATTCTTGTCCAACCGCTAACATCTTATCATCCTTCCAAATCCAGCTCAGACTTTACTTTATTCCTGATCTCATTAGATTCTAGATTTTAGTTCCTTCATACATTTTATATTTAAACATCACAAACAATGATAATAAGAAGAACAACATTAAATTAGACCATGGTATTTTTTAACATTGGTCTATTTTCTACTCATCTTTGTATTCCAAGTACTTGCGTGTAGTGCCTAGCACTCAGAAGGTGTTCAATAAATGTTTGATGGGTTGATTGAATGATATTAGGTTGGGTTATGTCTCTGGAGATTACCAACCAGACATCTTGAACTCAGGTGCATTATGACAGTTTTGTCAGCTTCAACACTGGCAAAGAATTTATTATTATTTGAGTTGTCCAGTGTGGGCATATTTGGAGATATGAGAAGAAACTGTTATAACACCTTTGCCCATTTTACTCTCCTGATTTGGTCAAGGGTTGGGCAAAGGATAGGCTATTTTTCAGAAGTCATTCAAGTTGTGCCCACCAGGACAATTAACACACTTCTGGAAGGTAAGTAGTCTATTTTCATTTAGCTATAGATCAAATATGCCAAAGACGTCTGTGCAAATTCGTAATATGTCAAACCACCAATCCAAACTTGTATGGGGGAAGGGACTGTGACACTCCCATCCTGCCCCCATCTATTTTTTCTGTTACTTCCATATTCGTCCCTTTTTTGGTACTCTACAGCTGGGATAGTAACACTTTTTTTTTTTTTATTCTAGTGATATCATACTTGGCTTTTCTAACAATTCTATGTGATTATTGTTTTTGTTCCTTAAGCACACACAAAATTGCTGGGTTAAGTTTCTCCAAGCACTACTTTGACCAAGTAATTTCTCTGCTGAAGAACTTTTAGTGGTACCTGTCTGTCTATGGAACTAGGTGAGAGCTCCAAGCAGCCAGATGTCCTGCCTCAATTGATTTGTGTAAGAGCCCTACCTATGACTGTTATCTAGCAAATGCTTTTGATGTTTCCTTGTTGTTGTTTTTGTTAATTTCGTTCTTGAAAGTGAAATTGTACAACTTAGTTGAAGGCAAGTTCCAGTTTTTGTCTTCCACTGTGATTAATATTGGTGAATTATCAAGAGTGGAAGCCACATATTTTAAAAAGTCAAGGCTGTATGCATTGAATGCAATATCTTCCCTTCCCAAGCATCACATATCCTAAATGAAATAGGCATGTTAAGCTATGACCGGTAATACACTTTGGGAAAGGTCAGTGATATTTTAATTAATGACAATTTATAGAGTTTTCAAGAGGACCAAAGTGTCTTCACAGCTGAAAGCTAACTGATTGTTTCTCAACTGAACTTTTAAGATGCGTATTCAGCCATGAGCATAATTAAACAAGTCCACAAGACATGAGAAACGGATTACTTTTCAGATGCTGGGTCAGGCAAACCAGGTGGTCAAGAACACAGTGTTCTCTGCTTGAAAACCATCGTTCAGTTGCCAGACTTTACTGCCCCTTGGGCTCTTTCATTCTATTTCTGGCCTTTGTCTCTTGCTCTGTCACACCAATGCCCTTCTTGGTTTAGATTTTATGTCCTCATCATCTAACACATCAAAGGATCAAAGAGTTCAAAGCTCCTCAGGCTGCCAGTATTTTATTTAGTTAAAAAAGTCAACAAGAATGAAAAATCGTGCCCATTTTCCTCTTTGCAAGAAATCAAAATTCGAAATTAAGGTGAAAGCACAGAGGATCTGTGCCATTCCAAATAAAAACCAACCTCTTCATAAATATATACCCCTTAAAAATTGTACCACTGAATTTTACAAAACAATTTAAATGTTGCTAATTAAAATCCTCAAGATGCTAATGCATTCTCAAATCAATCTCTGCCACTTTGTTGTACAAATGGAACACTGGCAGCTTCTCTTCCAACATTCAAAATACCATTTATAGAACAAATTTGAACTTTCAATTCATTCAACAAACAATTATATCAAGAACCTACTATGTGTCGGACACTACGCTGGGTGTTGCGCAAGCAAAATGGAATGACTTTCTGATTTCAGAAGAATTCTGGTCTCTAAAGCAGTGCTTCTCAAACTAGTTTTTATTAATCTGTGCCCTCTTTTGATAAACATAAATATCCTTCTGCCACTTCCCAGAAATTCTGATGAATCCTTCCCACACTGAGAATCACTGATACACAGAACATAGACTCTATTTTCTGTGTATTCTTCACAAACCAAATATCTTTGAGCTTTCATTTTTTATTTCAAGAGCAACATACTCATGTTCCATATGCAAAACTAGATTGGAATATTAAAGATAAACTTTTTTGAACCACATATGCTATCCCACTGTCAGTCCCAGAACTGAAATTCAAATTCCTGTACCCAGCCCTATTGAGAATCACTGCTTTAAAGAGTTTTGGAGAAAACCAGGCAAACTCCATCTCTCCCGTCCAATCAAATCTTAAAGGAATTAGAATTTTCCTACCTGACACAACAGCTGGTGGAGTATCATAATCCTGTCTTGGGACTGAATCTTTGAATGAAAAGAGCATGAGAAAGAATGCAATGAAGTACAAAAGAAAATAAAATAGAATCTTAGCTCTAAAACGTGGAAGTGCCCACTGTATGTCATATGGTTGCCTAAACACCCTGCCTTCAAATGCTCAAGGCACTATGACCCCTAGTTGACAGTTGATACAACGGTCCCCAGTATTGCCACAGGGTATATGTTGTGAGGCCCCCATGTGACCTGCTAGTGCAGTACATTCTATCCTAGGATTCTGTCATCTTCCTCACTCTGTCATCATTTTGGCCCCTCTTGGGAGAATCACTGTGAAATTTTTACCCTCTCTGGTTGATGCACATGTTCTAAAAGGCAGCCCATCTGGAAGGAGCCCAAAACACAATGTGAAACGAAATTCTGGAGAACAAAAGAAAGAACTAAAATTTTAAAAGAGATAAATAAAAAATGTGCATATTCCCACACTCTATGGAGACTGATACATTTCTGAAATCAGAATTTCGTTAGTAATCACTCAGCCCTGGCTCTGATCCCAGTGGCTGTTGGGCAAGGCCAAGAAGTTTTGTGGGCTAAAATGGTGAGAGCAGAGATAAACAGAGCAGAATCTATTCAACAGATGATTGCTGTCTTTTTCCAAAGTGTCATAGCCTTGGAAGGGGCAAATAGTAGAGAAAGGTTAATTTAAACTACGTGACATCCATTTCCAAATTTCAGGTTATGTGAAACCAAATATATCTGCTTTTTTAAAAGATGAAACTTCGGCTTAATCTAATTCCTTTAGTCAAGTATCTTAAAAAGGAAAATGGGACATGGCCTATGGCCCAAGGCCCCCCTTCTAAAAATGGAAAGTGCTCATCTAGCCCTAATTTCCCTTAGAGGGGCAAACTGTGTAAAAGGGAGCAGATAATACTCACATTCAAATAAACTGCCAAAACATGATTAAATAGATGATTTTCTGTGACCCTTACTCTAGACACATGACCATCATTCATTCCATTTTAAAAACAAAAACCTCAAACTTCATTTTCCCACCTCTTTGATAACTGAATTTGGACTATCACAAATGTCTCCATTTAATCTCCTAGCCCTAAAATGATGATGTTAATCCCTCTCTCATGAGCAAATGGCATGTGAGAAGACAGATTAAGACTTGGACATTGCAAGGCACTTTGACCAGCAAAACCCAACATGCATCAAAGATTCAAATGCAAATAAACCTTGGACATGAGTTATTTGGTGTCTCAAAACAGGTATGTGAATGTGAGTTCATTGTAATCCCAAATTGAGAATAAGTAGAATCATTTTTAAAGGAACTTCAAACATTTTATTAATAGTGATAGTATTTCCTAGTACCTTAAAAAAAAAAAACTTCAATCACATATTATTGTTACAAATAAAAAAAAAGTTGATTTTATGACCCTGTCACTAGTCATTTCCCAAGAATATATTTATAACATTTAAAAATAAATCACAAAAGTAAATCATGCTCATTGTTGAATACTTGGACAATGTAGAAAAGGGTAATGATTAAAATAAAAATTATCTCCAATCTCATCATCTGGAAATAACCACACTTATTTTGTATTTCTTATAGCCTTATTGCATAATTTTTTCTCATAGTTGATACTATATTTCCACATGTGCAAATTTATATCCTGCTCTTTTGATTTAATATAATAAATAATTTTTTTCCTATTTTAAACTCATAACTTCATGCTGCCTCACATTCTGGTTTATGAATGGATTATAATTTATTTAATCATTCTTCTTTATTAGCCATTATAAAGAACACAGGGCTGGATATTTCTGAGGCCTAAAGGCTTTTCTGTTATTTAGAGTATCTCTATAAAATAGCTTCTCAAAACTCTAACTGCGTGGTGAATTGGCAGAGCTGTTTTGAAGTGTCTTGACTTGCTATTCAACTGACATTTTTACAAATTTAGATTTCTATCATCCCACTGTCAGTGATTGAGAATGTTTACTTCTTCACACCTTCATCAGCGATGTGTTTTATTTTGATAACTTCATTTGATGGGCTATGTGTATATGTCCATGTAAGTATTTGATTAAATTACTGTTTCCTTAGTTACTTTTTTTTATATGTGTTTTGGCATCTTGCTCCTCCTTTATTACCTATCCGTTCATGTGCTTTGGTATTTTATCTATTGGGGCTTTTGTACTCTGTTGTAACATATTTCAATTCAGAATCCATTTCTTAAGCAGCAAAAGCTTGATATTTGCAGATAAACTTTCCTAATACTAGGATCTCACTTAATGCCTACTTATTGTTTATAAGACTACCGTCAAAGTTCATTATCTTACACTAAGACTAAATAAATTTTTAAGAACTATTTCCCTTTATCTATATTTTATTTTTTATATTTGACTATTTTTAATTAATTGATACATTTTCCTGAAAGTATACTCATTACCAGTTATGAATTTGTAATACTAGTTCCTAATCCTGAGTCCACTTAACATCTTACGTTGCTTTTTTTTTTATCACTGTCAACCTTAATACTCATATTCATAGCTAATAATTGAGGAAAGAAAATCTCCAGGCAAAATGAATAGTTCAGGATTTCCACCTGACACTGTCAGAATTTTATAGCATTAAAAATGGAATGGTGTGACTGAAAAATGTAGAGAGCCATGGTAAACAAATGGACTACAATTAGAAGATTATCTTTGTGTGTGGCTATGGTTACACCATGGGACTCCAGTGATGTCACAAATCACCAGTGGATTCGAGAGCACAAACAGAACTGCAGATAAGGAGCGTGCAGAGCAAAACCTTTTTATTTCTTTGAACAGATTCTGGTGACATTGTAAGCCACTGGTGACCACCAACTGAACAAATGAAAAGGAGATAAGAAACCTGTCAAACAAGATTGTCATGCAGTTTGGATGTTCTCATAACACAGTAAAATCCCCAGTGGTTTCTGCTAAAGCTTACAATGGAGTGATAAGAAATTATGGATAATGGTGCTTTGGTTCTACAGAGGGAATCCTACGACAAAAATAAATAAATAAATAAATAAATAAAAGCAGTAAAGTTAGAAAATTCTTCAAGGTCAGCAGAATCCTGGGATAAAAGTTATACTGCTTGCATACAATTCATTTCTCCTAAGGCCTGAAGATTCTGCCCAGCTTAGAAATGGGCAAAGAATTCAACAATAAACATTTGAGTTTGCAAATAGTAGACAAAGGTTAGTCAAACTGCATGGTACCCATTTCAAAATTTGGAATTATAGGGGCTCAAATATATCTAATTTTATGACAATAAAAAAGAGGCTTTGGCTTAATATACTTCTTGATCCCAGGGATCTCAGAAAGCAAAGTGGGACATGACCTGTTCCCCTTTCTAGAAATGGAAAATTCTAATCTGGCTCCACCCCATATCAACTCTGATCCCTGCCTACTTTGGATTATTCACTGGATCTCTCTCTGCCCTGCCTTTGGGACCTGTTTCTGGCATTGAGGTTCCCGTGTTAATCTAGAGTTGTCAATGCTCACACCTTGTCTTGCAGAGTTTCTGTGAGCTCAGACATCTGAAAGCCTCTGAGCAGTTACAGGTAAGAAAGACACAAGGTCAGATAATTTTAAATTGACTGGCTGTGGCAACATGGTAGAAAATGAATTGGAGCAAGCTAAGGGCAGTTAGGAGACTATTGCAATTAACCAAATGAGGCCCAGGGTAGAGACTCTAGAAATGTAGAGGAAGGGATATAGTTGACAAACGTCTATGGACAGAACTGGTGGATCTTGAATAGTTGCATCTGGTGGTGAGGGAAAAAGAAAGAGTCTACATTGAGTCCTAAGTGTAGCATTGGACTGCCTGGGCAAATGGTCATGGGATTAGTTGGAGAAGAAATAAGGAGCAGAAACACAGAAGAGGAAGAGGGTCAGTGGAAAGGAAGTTCGGGAAACTCATGAGGTTAGTTTGGGTTGTACTGACTTTGAGATGTTGGAAGGAGATTTACATGGAGCTATTTAGCAAGTTGTTGGTTAAGTGATTTTAAAAAAGTCTAAGATGATGTTAGCACTGAGGACTCAGTTTTAGGGGTCTTCAGCATAGAAGGCAGAGTTCAAAACCATGAAAGTGGATAAGGTTGCTTAAGGAAATCATGTATGAATGAGAAGTTAAAAATGAAACCCTGGCTTAGCAGCCTATAGAAGCAAAGAAGAAGCAATGGCCAGAGACATCATCAGAGGAGAACCAGGAAAACCTTGGGCAGGAGTCACAAACTGAGAGCACTTAGGACAAACTGGGACTGATATTCAAATACAGGGAGATTGCCTGTTAAACTGCAAATATTTAACTTAGCTTAAAAAAATGGGAAGGTGAGGCCACCTTAAGTCAGTATGACCATATAGCAATAGCTTTCTGGAGTTGAGCCAGGGCTGCCTTCCTTAGACAAGGCTGCCAAGGTACCCCTTCTCCCTATGATTGATTCATCCAACACTCAGACAAAGTTGTTACTATTATTGCATGAAAATATCTCTCATTTAAGATATAATCTCCAATATCATGTGTACCTATATTACATGACTATGTTTGTGACATGATAAATCTAGACCAAATTTGACATGTTTCCAGGCTGTCTTGCTTGATCTACATCAGCTTTATTCAATAATGTGACTTAGCTGGCTTCTCTGGACTTTTGGGTTTACCATCCTGAAAAAGTTAGAAGCTAAGGAAATAGAAACTTGAGAAAAATAATTTATGCCAAATGAAACAGAGTGGGCTGGAGACTTATACTACGACCTTGATAATGTTCTATATCCCTTCTGGCGACCCGGACTGAATGGCCACATTAATGAACATAATGGCCACATTATGAAGCCACTTGAGGTAGAGGGATAAAGGCGGCTCATTTGATAAGCATCTAGCGGGTGTCGCACATGGTTTTAGGTATGTTACATATATCATTCCATTTAACACACCACCACTGGGATATACATATTATTGGTATAAGAGGTAATCTTGGTAAAAGAGGAAATCAAAATTCAGAGAGTTAAGTAACCTGTCTAATACACCATACGCTAGTAAGGGGCAGAGCCTGGCTTTGAACTCAGGTTTAATTCTAATGCCCACTGTTCTTTCCATGATACCAAGCCACCTTCCCAGCAATAGATAAAGCAATGGAAAAGACGCAGTAAGGTGGAGAAATTTGATTAAAAGAATCCATTTCAATTGCATAATAGCCACTACACATGCCAATCAAAAATTCAGATAAAAGGAATCTCTGATGGTATATCAAAGTGTAAGAGTGACAGTTTGAGAAAAAGGTATAGCCATATTCTGGACACCGCTAAACGTCAACAAAGTAATAGTGTTCTCTCTCTGGCTTTCCAGAACCTTATGGAATTTTAACCCTTGGTAAAACATCAATTTACACAAAGCTTATGATGTGCCTAAGCATTATTCATTATAAATGTGAAGCAGGAAAAGAATGAAAAAAAAATTAGAAGAAATTTGGTGTTAAAAATGAGCCACCTGCTTAAAACTCTCTAAGAAAGGGAAGGAGTATATATCATTTTTGAGTAATTTGACTATTATTAGCTGGGCAAAAATTATGATCTCATATAAATGCATTCTTGTTGAAATGCTCAAATACTAATCATAATATATGTTATTGAATCAGCCACTATTGTAATTCTGAAACTGTTCTATATATTTTAGCTTATTTTTCAGTTCTCTAAAGGATTCAGTCATATTCTTAATTAACTTAGCTCTTGTATTTTTTTCTAGTTGGCAAATCTGAATTTCAGCAAGTCAGCTGGTTTTGTTTTTGATTCAACTAAGTAGGATTTATAAAGTGTTTCTTTCTAGACTTTCTAGATTTTCTAGATGTTTGTATTGTAAGTCATCCTCTTCTTGGATTCTAGATTGCCGTTCAACACAGTAAGATTGAATTACTTCACTTGTTCAGAATTTATCATCTTTTAAGGAGAGAAAGGCTGATATGAAGGGAAATCAACAGCGTAGACATGAGAAACTTCAGTTTCTCCCAATGAACTTGGGACTTGCTTTGTTAGTAAATGAGGGAAGTGACTAAATGTTTATGTAAATTACATGACTGTGTTTGTGACATGAGTAAATATAGACCAAATTTGGTGATATATTTCCAGGGTTTATTAGTTGTCGTCAAGATTGGCCCCTGATTTGTGAATGACCTGGGAATGACATATTAGCTGAAATGGAAAAGGATCTGGGAAAAGAAAACCAGGCTCAGGTGTATTATGTTAATAGATCTAGATCTGCAGGTGCATACATAAAGCCACCTTTCCATACACATTCCTAAAAACTATCTCCCTGATGAAAATTAACTGTACCACAGTGTAGAGTTAAATATAGTCATAGACATGACTTGAAAGTCTAGATCAGAGACCTAAAATATTATTGGATCCAGCCCCTGCTTTCAAACAGGTAAGGTATCATCAACTGCTTTTTATAAGTTCAGCGACTGAGGTCTTCAGGTAAGTACTCTTTATTGAAACAATGGGACTCTTTCCATCAGGCATATGGATTTTCTTCCTATTTAGAGCAGACTTTTCTGGCCTCAGTGGACATGTCAGAAACTTCTTGTACTCCAAAAAGCCCATGAGTTGATACATTTATGTGGCAAGCAAGCCATTGCTTTGAGGTAAAATTTCTGATATAGAGCTAGTGTCCTCAGTGTACATAGATATTTAGAGATGATGTCAGACTATCTGTGAAGAATCACAGAAGTGGCAACTATGAGACATACAGGCTTAAAGTCATAGAGGTGGATAGTGAAAGAGCCTCCATATAGCATCACGGCTCACTACTCAACCAGACAGAGAGGGGAACAGACTGGAAGAGATTATTTTCCCAAAGACAGAGGGAAAGAACAGTGTTCAATCAAGATTTGAGTTTAGTACTCCTAACTCCTAGTCCAGTGCTCTTTCTATAATTAAGCTGTCTCACTCAGAAAAATGATTAAAAAAAAATGACTACATCTTTAAAAATGACAAAATTATCTGCACTAATATTTGTAAAGAATAAGACCTGCTACCATAGTGTCACATGAAAGATTGGCTTTGATTCTGATGTTTGATCTATACTGATAATGAACTAAATTGTAGTGTTTCAGGTTGTATTAGACATTTGCCTCTTAACCATTTGGGGAATTGTCTTTGAATAGATTTTTTAAAAATAAAACAAAACTGTGTTAATGATGCCAAATGGTTGATACAAATCAATGGTGTAATAAGCATTTTTATACACTTTTTTTCCCTAAAGAAAATAATGGCTCATCAAAAATATCCCAACCTATCAAAAAACATCAAGTACACTAGATTCCTTTCCTTTTTTTCAACATCACCTATCTACCTATTCAAAACAAAGTTGAAAAGAACTGGATTATGTCAGGTTCTCAATTACTTTTTATTGATTTAAACATTGAAAGTAAATAACAAGCTCTATGTATTAGTCATAGTCAAGGTTGGCCCCTGACTTATGAATGACCCGGGAATGATATATTAGGTGGAGTAGGTAAGCATGTGGGAAAAGAAAACCAGGCTCAGATGTATTACGTTACAAGTTCTAGATTTGCAGGTGTGCGCATAAAGACACCTTTCCATAAATGGATATTATACCTGATGTACTGTGTCCTTTGAACAAGAAGTGACTCAAATTTAAATGCAACACAGTGGAAACTTCAGTCTGGTCAATGGGAATAAATGTGCCCCAATACTGCACAAGGCACACCGGAACCTGGAAACTTGTTTCAGTCAACGGCACGGGGCCAGTTTTGCTAATAATATCAGTAAAAGCTGCATTGCATCTTATCAAAGAAGTCCGAGAAAACAAAGCAAAACCAACTCTTCAACTCACCGTTCCTGTTGTGCCCAATGAAAGATGATTCATCTGTTGCGTCAGGGGGCCCATCATGTTTGCTGGCTGCATTGACATAGGATGGTCCATTGTCGGCGTAATCACAGCACCCTACAAGCACACACAATGTCCATCTGAAAACAGGTTCCACAAGGGAGGAAACTTAAAAACAATAAACACAGTCAACTACCTTAACGTCAAATGTGTTTACTTTTTAATGAAAAGGCTAAGTTCAACCATGTATGATTTTTTACATCACCCATGCCATTTTGTTGTTATCTAAATAGATAGCACTAATGACTTCCTTTTCCTTTGATGTGATTTATCTATGATGTGTCTAAAATGCTTATCATTTATAATGCCAATATTCAATATAGACTGTATTCCAAGATATCATACATATCCTCTTTCATTGTTCTAAATACAAACTTCTCTAACTGAAAAACACTAACACTATGGAAATTATCTAGTTTTTCTCAATATTGAATAAGACTTTTTTGGCTTATGCTTTTATCCATGATTTATATGGATAATTATTGATGATCTCAATACAATCTACCACCAGAGTAACAATGCTGGTCCAGATGAGTTTCTCGACTGGATCTTTTGAAGGACAGATTAAAATCTAGTACAAATGATATAAAAATCAGACTTAGTATTTTCCATGTTTTCTCCTCCTAATCTTTTGACCTACTTTCTTTCTATCTGGTGCTTTTGAAAAAGATAGAATACTGAACTCTGTTAAACGTTGGTCAAATGTAACACTGCTAAAATATTACCAAAAAAATAGTCAAGTTTTTCATCGGATGTTAAGAAAAGCCTACTTCTAGAATATGCTCTTTGATTTATTATAACTGTTGGGAATGCAAGAAATAACAGACATTTAAAAAAATTTCTGTTCATATACATAGTTTCACATAGCTAGTGAAGCAAAGGGCAAACACTTCCTTTTCCCCCTCTCCTACTTACTCTGCCTTAATTGACTAGCTGAGAGAATAGAACAATTTTTTCTTAATTTAAAAGCTGAGGTTGGACAGCATCTTTGAGATTATTGAAATTTCAATGCTTTATTATAAAGATGATCATACACGTAGAAGCCCATGATATCACAACTCATTTAAATACTCACTGGTAATAAAATGATAATGTATTTGAATGATATTTTTTTTCTGTAAACACTTTTTTCACTGTTTGACTTTTCTTCCCATGTAAGTGAACATTTTGAAGAAATAAAACTAGGACAGATTTATGTAGACGGCAGGATGTCAGCACACAAACCACCTATAAGCAAATGTTTCTGAGAACGTTTTGCTCAGGATGACCAATTCCTCCTGGTATCATCCAAATCTGACTTCCTGACTGTATCTGTTAAAAAAAGATCAGGCTTTCATTCATCCTTCGTTGTGGGCTCCTCCTCATTAATATGGAGGGAGAATAGAAATTGAGCCAAATATTTGGAAATGCTTGATTTTCAGAGCCAACATTGTTTGCAAGGATATTTGCAGTTTGCTAGACTCAATCAGAAGTGTATATATATATATATGTATATATATATATATAATTCTAAAGATCTGTAGCTTATAAATATACATAAATGTTCATTTGTGTTGTTTTAATTTCTTGATGCATCCATGAATTGTCATTCATCAGCAGACTTCTTGAATCAGAGACATGATAAGTAAGCTTTTAGTAATTATAATTCAGAGACACATCACTTTCTCTTCTGGCTGCCTGAATTTCGTTAAACAAAACCACATTAACTTTTTCCTTAAGAAAAACAAACAAACAAAAAAACAAAACAAAACAAAAAACCCAGCTTCTGTGCTTTATTTCCAGTGTTCATTGTGCCATACCAACGAACACCAACACTTTAAAAAACACTGGGTCTTTCTTAAAGCACTTAGAGATAAACTATAGAAAAACCTCAGAGTTAAGATGGAAGTCCTAAAGCACGTTTTTTTTTTTTTTTTTAACCAAGAAGTGGCACTTTCACAACATTTTAATCTTCGGCAGGTGCAAGACTTCAATACTGCTTTTGAACTTGAAACTTAGACTACCTTCTTAGAATATTGTCCCTAGAGATTCCAACAGCTAAACTGTCACAATCCTGGAAACCCCCGGATTGTAATCAACCTGCTCTAGCTACATAAAGGGTTACTCGTCATAAATCAGAGATAAAGACCAAATTCTGTTTGGTAGAAAAAACCTTTCTTGTTAGTGCCCTGGAGGTGATCTCATCTCCAGTGGTGCAAGAGGTAGACTTTAGTCTTTGTTTGGAAGGCAATATGCAAATGAGATATGTGAGCATATGATAGATGAATCAAAATCCATGCAAGATAAGAATAGAAGGATTGAATGCCTGCATTTGGAATTAATTTAGGAAGGATTGTTTGGTCTTTTTACAGAATCCTTTCTCAGAAAGTGTTTGGGGACTCATTTGATTACAGATGACACAGAAGGAGCATTGCTTCTGTGGATAAACCAGAAACTGACAATCAAAGGGAAGAGTAGGAAGAGGGTTGTCATAATTTGGAATTGCAAATAGCAGCAGTAGGCATAGAGTGGAAAACAATGAATGGAAATATTCCTTTCTGTTTAACGGGCCACTTGCTGCAAATAAATGAACAATAAAATGAAGATTCTTGGGGGAGGACAGAGCCACTGTCTCTGCCTCTTCATGTTCAATGAAGAAAGAATTCCCACAAATTATTAAGAACATAAACTCCTTAATAGTTTCAAGGGATGAAAGAAATGTACAATTAGTGAGTAAATGGAAGTTGTAGAAAGGAACCCCCCAGAGAGGCACAACTTCTTGATGATACTTGATGGGGGACAACTTACAGAGTTTGAAGTACAGGTTATCGACAACAAAGACTGGTGTTTGTCAGCCACTTTGCTCATCAAAGATTACATACAGAGTCTTCTCTGTGTTGTGTAGGACGATATTTAAAAACAAAACAAAATGAAAAACATGGAGGAAGAGAGAAAAGAAAGAAAAAAGAACAAAAAGGAAAAGAAAAAACCTGTGGTTCTTAAGGCAAAACGAGTGCCCCCAAGCATAACTGTGCCTAATTAAATATACTGTCACATCCATTCCTATCCAATGCATTTAAGCCATAGATTGAAGAGTGTTTTGTGACAGATGTTGCCAACACATTAAGGGTAATTTCATTTACTTCAAATGTATAGAATGTGCCGTCTGACAGAGTTCACTTGGCAAATGGCAAAGCAAGAGGAAACAGATTTTTCATTTTAGCATCTCCGGATGTCTGGGTTTGTTCAATGTTTAAGCTGCAGAGAAAAATACTGTAACATGCTATAATTCCACTGAAAAGCACAATGACCAAACAGCTGATGGGAATGTCTGGTCTATTTTAGCCACTGCCTCTGCAAAAACAAAGCTGTTCACACTCAAGAGATGTGGGGCGGATCTGGTCACCCTAGTTCTGAAATAAACAGTTTCAACAGTAATTTGGACAAAGTTTCCAAAGATCATTGATGTAAACATATCTGAACCGAGGCCATAAAAGCATCTATGTTGTTAACCTCCTGCCAGTATTTTAAAGAAATTTTAAGTCTTGGAGAGTTTATCAGTATTTTAATTTCCCAACTACAGGATTGTTGGCAAATTCAGGGAAAACATGTTGAAGTTCTCTACTATTAAGAGCATGCATTGTGGGCTGAAAACCTGTATGAAGGCCAGGAGTTGGACCACCATGAGAACTGCCTGTATGAATATTCCTGTGAGTGTGTGTGTTCTAGACCAGTGTTTTCTTAAGTACCACCTGCCGACCAGCAGCAATGGCAGACCAAGAATTGGAATTAGCATCCCTGAGCTTTGGGTCTTGAAATCTGTGTTTCCACAAGCTCTGCAGGTGATTCTGGTGTCCCCTGAAGTATGAGAGGGGTGCTCTTGCCTATAAACTGCTATGGTATAGTCCAGTGTCACAGATACAGTGTCTTAGATACAAACACTTGGTTTTATTTTATTTATACTGTGTCTCAATTATTTGTTTTAAACCAGGTGATACAGCATGATTAGAGCAATACTCACATTTTATCTTGTTTAAAAATGCAAAAAGGTCAAGCCTGCATTTTTGGTCAGCTGAAATGGGGTGATTATCTGACTAATTCAGGCCTAAGGCTGATGACCTGCCATGCTTCCATTTGACCAGTGTGGCTTATGCTCTATCATATTTGAGAATCTCTCGTATTTGAAACCTTAGTAAGCCTTAAATTTGAAATCATAAAAATCTAAAAGGTAAGGAAATTATTTGGATAATGTAAGTGAAAAAAAAAAAAAAAGAAATATCACTCTCTTTTTTCCTTTTCTCATGTCTAGATGCCTCAGGTGAAAATGTTTGTTGCCCCTACTATACTCTTTTCCTGCAGTGACTTACACAAAACTACAGGACTTTTTCATAGTAATCATTCAATATGACTTAAAAAAAAAAAAAAACCCATGGTTTAAGATCATTTATCTTCATTCTCATCTGTATGTTTTCCGCTTCTCTGTTAGTTTTAATATTTCTAGAATAAATGTCTCATTGAGTTTGTGTACACCAGACTATTTTTAGCACATCTCAAGCAGGGTGCAGAGAATGATAGAAGCTCACAAGGAAGCTACTTAGTGTCAATGATTTACCCATAGCAACAATGATTTCATAATGGGAATGACATAAAGGTGTTTTGTTTAACTTGGAGAAGTGCTACTCAAACGCAGTGTCCTACAATGTTAGTGTGCAACATTCCTGTAGTATATGTAGAGATGTCTAGTTCTTTTCATTCGTTGATGTTGGCATGTTTTTTATTGTTGTTTCTCTTTCTTTCTTTCTTTTTTTCTTTTCTTTTTTTTTTTTTTCCTGAAGGCAGCTGCTTTGCATGGTTTAAGGAAGGCTGCCATGGGGAGAGAACAAAAGGGAACTAAAGAGGCCTTCAACCTTCAATACACTCATTAATCCTCAACTGTCTTGATAAATTTTCAACCAACTTAGAGGGGGCAGTCTGGCTTTTGAAACAACTATGTTTGAAACCCAGAAAGCTATGGCAAAGCTGGTAGATAAGACTTCAACTGTGAAAGCATTTGCAGATAACCTATGACAAACACTGGA